GCCTCCATAGTTATTCACTGAACTTGCCCTCAAAATTACAGAGCAATAAAAGGATAATAGCATTTGAGTGACTACAGAGGAAAAGTGCACTTTTCCAATAAAGTGGCTGTCTCATTTCCACCCCCCTCTCCTGGGCTCTGCAGTGAGGGTGCTCTATGTGCCTAAGGACTGAGGACTAGCAGCAATGCATCTTTCATCATGGCAATGCCATTTGGAACCTTCATTTATTTATCCATAGGATAGGAGACTATTTCCCTTGCTACAGACCTCATCTATATAAGCCAAATGTTTCAATGAGAACAGTCAAACTCAGAGTCTGTTAGATTAAACCACATGAACTGGCCCATAATCAACCATTTTAACCCACGAGAATGGCAACTACATAAATTACTATCTAATATTGTACTTCCCTTATTATTATATAAACTATAATAGGGGAATTTCTCTTTGAACCAAAATCAGGGGAGAAAAAAAAGCATTAATTAGAAATTAATTAGCTTCCATAGACTTCAAATTCCATTTTCATGATCTCTGGGCCCACTATCATCAACCAGTGATACTTTTATCTATCACAGCATCCTCTGCATTCCTTAATAATTTTCTTGATTTGTTTATGTATGTATATACTACTTTGCATTACTTGTTTATTTTCTGGGTTTCTCCACTAGAATAGACTTTCCCTGGAGGCAAGGATCATGTCCATTTCCCTCAACATGGTATATCTAGTGCCTAGTACAGTACCCAGCCCAAGGCCAGCACTCAGCAAATATTTTATGAATGAATGAATGATTCAAATTACAAAAATAAATGCTGGAAAAAAGACAGTCTTTCTAAACCACAGAAGGGTACCTCAATCCACAGAAACAACACACTCGGCTTGTTTGCTGTGTTGTGTCATTGAATGCTCACGGGTGTCTATATTCATACCTCTTCTTCTCTCACTACTCAGAGCTCCAATAACTTAATATGCAAACAATAATACTCTTATTAAGTCTAACTTGATATGCAGAGTCACTCAAACCAGATGTTTAAAAAAATCATTTTTCCACCACTCTATCTTTCTACTACTGTGTTAACCTTGTAGTCACACATCTTTGCGTAGACCGAGATCATTTTAGTAAGTTTTGCCTCATAATTCCAACTTTAACCCATTAATTCCATTATGAATTCCTTATAATTACCATCGCATAAGCATCTATCTATCTGATCATGTAATTGATCTAGTCTCCAATCAGAATCAATTTTTTTGTCTTTAAAAAAATCCTTCAAAGGAAAAAAACAAAAAGGCTTTCAAATTCAAACGCATGATAGCAAAATACCTAATATGAAATATCCCCACACTTCTCAGACTGAAACAAAGCTGAACCAGGACCAGTCCCTTCACATAGACCACCCACCCTCTTCCCCTTCATCTCATTTTAGTCTCGAAGGCAAGACCCAAGGACTTCTTTAAAAAATCTCATAGCTATTTGAATAAATATCGCTTGTAAAAATTTTAAAAATATAAGGAAGTCTAGAAAGTATTTTCAAGTTCTAGAGCACTTTTCACATAAGTTAATTTTATAAACATTTTCTTTGTTTTTCTCAGTTAACGATGTCTGAATCTAAGAAATTTCATAAAATAACCGGTAACTTCTGTGGTATTCTTCCAGCCTTTTATAAATGAGAGGAAATACCAAATCAAGATATGCAATTGTCTGCTAGCATTAGTTTCTGAAGAGTACAGCAATCCCCCTCTTATGTGCTTGGGATATGTTCCAAGAACCCCAATGGATGCCTGAAACCATGGATAGCACTGAACCCTATATATAGCATGCTTTTTCCTGTACATACATACCTATGATAAAGTTTAATTTATAAATTAGGCACAGTAAGAGATGAACAACAATAACTCATAATAAAATAGAACAGTCATAACAATATACTGTAATAAAAGTTATGTGGCTGTAATCTCTCTCCCTCTGTCTCAAAAATATCTTATTGCCCTGTACTCACCCTTCTTGTGATGATGTGAGATATTAAAATGCCTACATGATGAGATGAAGTGAGGGGAACGACATGGGCATTGTGACTGAGCGTTCAGCTACTACTGATCTCCTGATACATCAGGAGGAGGATCATGTGCTTCCAGGTCACGGTTGATGAAGGGTGAGTGAAACTGCAGAAAGCAAGACCATGGATAAGGGCAAACTACTGTGTCAATTAAGGATAAATATTGTTTAGGCAGCAACACCAGAATAACCAAAAAGAAGATATAAGGCTGGAGCATTCCGAAAGAATGAAAACAAACATCCAGCATAGTTAAATAAACCTCCATAGAAAACATTAAATCCCAAGAGAAAAAATATTGGAAAATTCCAACTGTATTCAGGCATCACATTAAAAAAATATTCTTGGTCTGTATAATACCAAAATCCAACTCTATAGGTTCAAGAAGCAGATTTCCCTCAAATTAGCATGATTGGGAGAAATTCAATTTCCCAGTACTAACCAAGAACAGGTTTATAAAGCAAATAGGTAATATGGTCTTCACAAGGTCACTATTAAACTATTTGCAAGCTATGGTGACTGGAAAAGGAATGAGAAACTGGGAGCCAACTTCTCTCAGTACATTAATAAATATTTCTTTTTCAGTTCTTTTAGTTGAAAAGATCTTAAATAGATGGTAAATACACTGGTGAGATGGTCATAGGACATGCTGGAAAAGTCTAGCACTCCTCAAGCCCACATACATGTCAGACATCCGGTCTTTCCCATTGATCTGAGCTGTAATCTTAAATCTTTCTCAACACAGGACTCCAGACACCAATTATGGATTGATCTGAACCACTGGAAATATACCAACTTTAGTGTGAGAAGAATCTGAGAGAGAGAGAAAGAGAGAGAGAGAGAGTGCGGGCTGTGAGTGGAGACAGACTAAATAAGGGATGGGACTGCGAAGGAAATGTTCTGCTTCAGGAAAGTCAGGACAATGTACAAAGAGTCCAAAAGGAAATGGGATAATCCTGAAGACCAGCTTAGCTTCATTCACCATTTCTTTTGGAAATACTCTGGACACAGAAATTTAATTTGCTTCTAGAAACATGGATGATATTCCTTCTAATAAAAGTTATAAGACGATATGGTAATTTTAAGACATACAGATGCACAGAATTTTTTATGTCTTTATAAAGTGATTTTGCTGGCAACACAGCTTGAGAAACCTAATGGTTTTCTTTTCTCTAGTACTATTTAATAAATTATGACAACATAACTGCCAACAACTTTTTCACAGAATCACAGGTTAAGTAATAATAACATAGACATTAAATTATTTTGTGGTACTAGATTCATTAATTCAAATATAGAAGACATCTCCATTAAAGATTATGAAGAATTACATTAAATCAATAGGGAAAAAAAGCTTATGAAGAATTACATTAAATCAATAGAAAAAAAAAGCTAAAGTCAATTTTTAAGTTAAATGTGAGGGTTCTCATTTGAAATAAAAATTTTGAAGCATTCATATTCAATCAATAATTAATCCCAACATTCAATAAGGAATGAAAAATAATGGCCCGTCATATCATATCTAGGATTCAAGATAATTAGAAAGCATTATAGTTGAATGTCTATTACAGTTCACTGAGCAGATGTGCATGCTAAAGTCACGTTACATTACAATGCTGATCAACATCAGCATTAGTAAGGAATCAGTCAAAACATCAACTGGAAGACTGCCCAATGATCTTGTCCAAATGTTGGGAAGTAGAATCTTTTCCTTCAATGTCATTTTCTAAATAAGGTTTTAAAATATATATTCATTCAAACAAATTCAAGTTACACAGTATGTCTTTGTTTCCATAAAACTGAAGTATTTCAAATTCTTTCACTGAAGAGCCAAGAAAGTAACAAATTCAAAGTGATTAATTAAGCTTCTGGCACAATGATTGGCAAATAGTAAGCACTAAAATGTATGTATCGGTACGTTGAGAGAATGAATGAAACAGGATGATGTGGTGAGAAAATCCCAGGATTAAAATTAAGAAAGGCTGCATTCTTGTGCCACCTCTATAATTAATCCTGTGGGATGACACTGGGCAAGTTAGTGAAATGCATTATACTTCTGTTTCTTCATCTATGAAATTAGAAAACTGAGCAAGGTGATATATAAGATCTCTTCCATCACTATGATTTCATGACATGTTACCAGACAGAAGGCAAGTTTCATCTTCTACATGTCTCAGTGAAAGATATTACCCATAAGCAATCCTGACCCAGGCAATGAAAACAATGCTCAATTTTTATTTCAGTGAGCTATGTATTAGCCAATAGCCATACTGCTCCTCTCAAAATTATTTTAAAGACTTGATAGTCATGATCTAAAATTTAGCTTATTAGACAATGCCTTCTTAAAATTCTTCCCTTTATGAAAGTGCAGAGTACCCTGTTCATAAACAACTCCACCCTGAAGTCTCTACGTAAAGATTTTGCCTTGAGCAATGACACTATCACTTATGAGTAAATAAGATGACAGTGTCCACTGTGTAGACAAAATAAGATATCACAAATACTAAAGAATAGGATAAACCATGATCTCAGGTACAAAAGATGATTCTAGCATTCTTTGTCAATATATTTCTCTCTTAATGTGAAATGATTTGATTTCTAGTTATCTTCTTCTTTAAGAAGTCATTAATCATGGAACACTACATCAAAAACTAATGATGTATGGTGATTAACATAATAAAATAAAACTTAAAAAAAGAAATCATTCATTTTACCATTAGCATCTTATAAACATAAATCTTAAGACTAGCCTATAAGACACACTTTCAAATTAAAAATTACCAGTGAGACACTTACGATAAAAATCTAGATCATAATTCAATAGAATGCCACCTTGTGTGTGAAGAGACTTCAAGACATTATCTGGAGTTAATCTAGACCAATCCTCTACCTGGAGACAAGTCAATGAACACAGAGGCAGTGACCAATAAGTATCTGTTGAATGGGGCGGGCTGCAAAAGCAGGTATGTCGGCTGTCCTGCAGCGCGTCGAGCGGCTGTCCAGTCGGGTGGTGCGCGTCCTGGGCTGTAACCCGGGACCCATGACCCTGCAGGGCACCAACACCTACTTGGTAGAGATCGGCACCAGGAGAATCCTCATTGACACTGGAGAACCAGCAATTCCAGAATATATCAGCTGTTTAAAGCAGGCTCTGACTGAATTTAACGCAGCAATCCAGGAAATCATGGTGACTCATTGGCACCGTGATCATACTGGGGGCATAGGAGATATTTTTAAAAGCATCAGTAATGACACTGCATATTGCATTAAAAAACTCCCACGGAATCCTCCAAGAGAAGAAATTATAGGAGATGGAAAGCAACAATATGTTTATCTGGAAGATGGAGATGTGATTAAAACTGAAGGTGCCACTCTCAGAGTTATACACACACCTGGCCACACTGATGATCATATCGCTCTACTTTTAGAAGAGGAGAATGCGATCTTTTCTGGAGATTGCATCCCAGGGGAAGGAACAACTATATTTGAAGACCTCTATGATTATATGAACTCCCTAAAAAAGCTACTGAAAGTCAAAGCTGATATTATATATCCAGGACATGGCCCAGTAATTCATAACGCTGAAGCTAAAATTCTAGAATACATTTCTCACAGAAATATCCGAGAACAGCAAATTCTTACATTGTT